GTTTGAACCTCTTGCTTTAGAGTACAGCTCCTCTGCTGCAGGGGTAGAGGATGACTCTGGACTTGTCCTTATCATTCAGAGACAGAACAGCATAAACAGCATAGCTGCACATGGAGGGGTCAAGGAAAAGAGTGAACTGCAGAAATCTCCTTCTACGTGCTGTCTCTATGGAAAGAAGCTTTCCAATGGCTCCATAGTGCCCTTGGAGGAGAGCCTTAACCTCATTGAAGTAGCTACAGAGGCACCCAAGAAGAAGACAGGTTATTTTGCTGCTCCATCTCAGATGGAGCCAGAGGATCAATTTGTGGTGCCACCTGATCTGGAGGAGGAAGTGAAAGAACAAATGAAGCAGCACCAGGAGAATGAAGCAGATGAGGAGCAGAAAGAAGAGCCTGCAGTGGCTCTGACAGAGGAGTTTGACACAGCTTTGTAATCCTACAAGTACTACTCCCGCTTTGTGTGTCCCAGGAAGCTCTATCGTGCAAGGGCTGTCATGCCCCTAAGGGGACCTGGGCTCTGCAAGGCATACAGGCATCTGTTGCTTCCTTAATCAAGCGGAGAAAAAACTGGGAGTGCTACGGTCTGGGCTGTCTACTTTTTGCTGTAGTCTGTTCTATGAGTGCCCAGATAGCTGTGTTCTGTTCAGAACTGTCTGGAAATTATGCAAGCACTAGAAAGAAGGCAGGTATTCCAGTGCCTCCCTCTTACTCCTTAAAGCCTGAGGTTCTGCCAGCTCTGCAGGAAAGGGGCTGGTGTATTGCGGGAGGGGGAAAGGGAAGGCTGTTGAGGGGCCAATATGCAGTGTTTGGAGTCTGAATATTTCTGACACAGGCCCTCCTGGCAATTCCTGATTTCATTGTTTCTTGAAAGAATACAGCCAGTTGGAATGAAGCTGACCCAAGAATGGTTTCCTACATGAATTGCAAGCACTTTTATTGATTGCACTTAAGCTGTTCTCTTCCCCTTCAGCACAGCACTTTATTATTAGGGCCAGGGGAGAGAGCACTCCAGTACCCTGTCCACAAAGCAGGTGGGAGGGAGTGGGGAAGCTGATTTTCCCAGTAAGTATTGTTAGGGCTTTTGAGGATTCAGGGTACAGATGTTCTGATGAGCACTGGTGCAGGGTAGAGTGAGAATTATAATGGGATCAGCCTATGCAGGATGAGAAAACTCAGCTGGATTATAAGTGGGTGTTTACTGCTGCATTTTACATGGAACATGGGAAGGATCAGCTCTGGACTTAGTGGCTGAGAAACATATAGAGCTACTGCTTCTAGCTGCAGATCACAGACCCAGCTCAGCACCTTGTCAACCTTTGTCACGTGTACCTCATAGTAGAGGCTTCCTGTATCCAGAAAACGTGACATGAGACCATGAGTTTCTGCTGGTTTCAGTCTAAGAGGAAATTGAGGTGTAAGTGGTACATTGCCCTAAGGCTAGCAAGCAGTTGGGCTGCTCTTTGTATGCTGAGGAAGCTTTCAGTACTCTTTTCCACCAACATTAACTGCATTGTCAGCCATGACAGTCTTTGCTTGCATCTGTAAATAGGAGTCATGGTCCAAATCCAGAGCAACCTGTATTTTGTGATGTGTGCCAAATTTGGCCACCAACGAGGTGTATCTTTGTTAGTATATCTCTGTTTCTACTTCGTCTTCAATGGAAAAGGAAGGGAAAAAAAGAGAAAAAAACAAAACAACTTTTCACCTGAAAAACATCTTTATCAGCACTGGGGAAGAGGTTTTTAAAACAGTCCCACTAATGATGAAATGCCCAGCCTGCAGCTGCCACACGGTTCCACTAAGGTTTTTGGTGCAAGGGGTAAATGGATTCTCTATGTAATAATCTTGTGAAAAGTCTATGGCCTCCAAAGCATGCAGATGTCTTCCCTGTTTGGCAGAGGGCTGAACAGCAGCTGCCCCATAACAGCGTTGGTGCAATAATTCGGACTATAATGTGGGCTAGTGCCTTTTCTTCTTTATTAATTATATTTATGAAGAAAATGTGAAAGTTTCCTCTCAAGGTCTCTGAGGAGCTTGAGTTGTGTATTTTTGGATCAAGTTCAAGCTTTGAATTGAAAGGATGCTGTGCAGACAACCTGTGGGATTCCAATAATATAGATCTTTTGACAAAATCTACAGGAGTTATGCTTAAACTTCAGAGCTGCTTGAATTTCTCACTCGGGGAAAAAGGGTGTATTTTTACCATACTTGAGAGCAACCTTTTGGGATATACCTTGTACTGGTTATGGTGTAATCATGAAACAACCCATCTTTTTTCCAAACTCGTGAGTTCTGGCCATGTTTAATTGTCTGTTTTACTTGGAGAGAAATGCTCACTCTTAGGATCACAGAAGCAGCATTTTAAATTCCTCAGGCAGAGGAAAGAAAAGTTTCAGAGAACAAAACTCAGTTCTTCTTAAGGTTCTCCTCATGTTAAGTATGCAGAAATGGCTCACCTCAGTGTATTTGACAGTAACTTTCAGTTCATTTGCTGGCAACAGTGTCACCAAGTATCTGTGTCAAGTCCAATAGTGTCTGCTACCTGCTCTGTTCAGTGTGGGATTGATACAGGAATGTAAGCTGCTTTCTGAATAAGATTGTGGTGAACCTGGCACTAGGAGAATGGTAGATGTCAGTGCAAATCAGGACTCCTTCTTGCACTGATGTGTAAAATCCAGTGTGTCCTTGCCAGCCTGAACCATTAGCATTGTGTGAGACAGGTATGTCTCATGGGGAGTTCATCATGAGTGACGTGACACGACATGTCACTCCTAGTTCAGTAGGAAGGATTAAGTGAAGCTCCACAAGAGAGCATGCAAGTTTTTGATCTGCTTCTCCAAATGGAATGCATAGAACCACTACTCAGCCTTTTCTCTAGCTCTGTTTCTGATTTTGCAGCAGAAAGGGAGCTCATTTCATACAGGTGTGAACATTTGTGGCAGAATATGGCTTGTTGTGCAAAATTGTGGAGTCCATCACTGCTTCCAATCAGATTGATACTGTGAACTGCTGCTCTTATTCTGGGTAGCACCTCCTTTTGTTTTTTGGCCTCTCTGAAGACAGCAAACTTCCTTTGTCTTCCTTATTAACACTGGACATACATCTCAGGCTTCTGATTGGCACTGCTATATGTGGGAACACATGTGGATGGGAAAGTTTAGCAGGGGGGCTCATAACAGAGGATAGAAGGTGTGTTACCTCACAGTTCTCCTGTTCTCTTCTGCTGTCTTCCCTGAATTCTCTGTGGCTCTTGCAGATGACATCATTTCCATAGAGCCACACCACTAAGCATGTTCCATTCTTTTTTACTGTTGGAGGTTCTCAGTGTGGGGTCATTGAGTGTTGCCAGAGCTGTTGTGCTCCAGGTGGCCACAATAAGGTTAGGCTGTGGAACTTGTCTTTCCATCCCTTGAGCAGTTCTGGCCCTATTGCTAAGCAAGCTCATTGAGAACAGGCTTGCTGGAGGCACTGACCTGCGTGCCCTGGTCTGACCAGAAGCTACCAAAAAGAGCCAGTAAAGGCAGTTGGTGCCTGGTTTGGGCTTGAGTATTGAGGATAAGACATACCATCAAAGTTGTGCCCAGTGCCTGGAACAGACCTGGGGGAGATGCTGCAGACTGCTGAAATCTGATTAGAGTCCTCAACCAGACAGGACGGAAAAATCCAGTTCCATGAAGTGGGTATTTCCCTCTCTGTGGGAAGGTCTGCTGTGAGACCTGAAATATTTCTAGTGCCTGGGATTTGAAGACACAGTTAAAGCCCTGGGACTTCCAGACGTTTCTGCACTCCTCCTGGATGGCGATGTCTTTCATGTCACTTGCCAGAGGGCATTCCTGGACAGTAGGTTCACCTCTTGCATTTTGGCAGTCATTGTCTGCTGTTCCATTGCAGTCTGAAGACTTCGGTATATTTTTCTCCTTTTTTTTTTTTTCCATTTTAAAACAGTTGCTGTTCTGACTCATGACCCAGTGCACGTTAAAGAATTATTGCAGCACTCCACTTACAATATTTTTTCACGCTTTCTGTTTTAAAAAGGAAAACACTTCATGTATCCCACTCTAGCATGCAGTGGTAATAATTCCTCTTTTACAGTATACAGGAACGGACTGTTCCATGAATGCACCTTCGGCAATGTGGCCTTTGTGTATACTGCATTGGAGAGGCAAATACCATTGCTGGAAAACATTATTTTGATGATTCTTTACTCAGTTGTATAGAGTAGTTCAGGAAGGAAGAATATTTTTGCATCAACTTTTCAGATGACGTAGCAATAAAGATTTTTACTTTTGTCTAACTATATATGCTGAGTCTGTTACTGCACTGGAGGGAGTGTGTGCAATATCCCAATCACACATAGAGGTAGCCATAGTTGTGCTGTAAGGTCCCTCTCCTTGAGTTCTGTGCTACTTCTACTCAGTCAGCCTTCCATACAAAACGTATATGCAGATCACTGAGAGTAGAGTTAGCAGTACCAAATATTGGGCAGCTCTCTGTACCCTACCAGAGGAGTCCCTGCGAACTTGTGAATAACACAGCTCTTTAGAAGTAAGTGCAGCAAGCAAGCAGTATGGAATCAATAGAAGAAATAGGGCCACAGTGGCCTGTCCACATAAATCCATGCATTCAGATGCTGAGTGCATATGGCTGCTAAAAGGAAGCAGCAGTCACCTGAGGTGTTACAGTGTAGAATTTACTTTTGTATTTCTGGTTGCAGTAGTGTTCTATGACTTCAGAAATTGCGAAGATTTAGTCAATGGTGAAACTGGAGGTAAATCTATGACAAAGCATGCTTTTAATATGCTGCTTTGGGGATTTTTATTTTTTTTTTCTCCTCTAGAGATGGAGTTGGCCTGTTAAACCAGTGGAGATTAATTCTCACGGGGTTAATGCACTCTGTGGGCACTGCTCTGAAATGGCTTTCCATTCTGAGCATGATACCTGAATCTGGTGCTAGTCTTCTCTTCTTTGATGAGTCTACAAAAACAAACAAAACCAACAAAGTTCTGAAGAGAAAATTCACCTTTATTTGTTCATAAACAACACAGAATCAGTCTCGTTTCCCTACCTTGTACACTAAAAATGTTTTGCAAACAACACACCTTCTTCTTAAATCACCTCTGTGAGCTCTTAAAACTTACGTCTGATGAGTCAAACTCTGGGCTCTTAGGCAAAAAGGTTGTATACAAGTATACACAACAGAGTGCTCCATCCAGAGAGGTGCCCTCACCAGAAGGGAGTAAAAAGAAGGCACAAATTAAGCTGACCACCCTACAAGTTTATTTCAGGAGTCTCTGATGGCAATATAAATGCCATGTTAAAGCTGCCCCTTTAGCACCAAGAGACCTTTACAAAGCAGGAATTGGCAACCATCAGCTTCAATGCTCACTTTTAAGAGTTCCATTCTCAGTGGACAGTCACAGTCCCTTTGTAAAAGATTCAGCTGTAGGAAGCTGTTCACCAGCATGTGTCTGCAACACGTCCTACCCATGCTACTTGATGTGCTCTGAGTGACTACTGACATTAATTACCCTACTGCTAGGAGGGTATGTGGGTATGATGTTGGAAACCCAGAGCTCAGGTATGTGATCTCTCTTTTCAGTCATTGACATTCAGAAACAAGGGCTTCTCCAAAGCTGAATTATCTTCCTAGGCTGCAAGCATTCAAAACTAGTTTTGCTATTTAGACAAAGCCTGTGCATTACTGAGTTTATAAGAACAGCAGTTAGCAATGCATTCTCTCTCAGATATGTGCTGGAGAGGCAGAACAGCCACCAGATAAAGACAATCTGTATGTGTCCGCTAATAATTCAACTGTGCAAATTTAAGTTTGAACGGCTTGGTTTCACTGTATTTGGAGCTATGCTTTTGGTGAATGCTTTGTTATAGTAATAAGAAGGCACTGTCCCCAAGCAAGTAAAAGCATGCCACAAGGCTGGCAAAAATCAGGACTACTACTGGAGCAGAGGAGTAATTCTACTCTTCATACATGTGTTCTGGCTTCTGTTTCAGTTTGTGAACTATTCCGTACCCTCTGACAGCCAGGCCTGCACCAAGCAGGAATGTCACGACAGCCGCACAGCCCAGGAGGCCAGCAGCAATCTCTGCCCCATGCATGCTGCAGCTAAAGCCCTGATAGCCTTTGCTTTGGTAAAGGTGTGCTCTGTCTTTGCACACTGATGAATCATAAAACCCCAGCAGATGATGGAAGAAACAGTACAGAGCAAACAGCAAACCCCCTGCAACCACTGTGTCCAGGACGCCTTCCAGTAGGAGCCATGCAGGAAAACGCCACGGTAGCCGTACAACGCCAACCAAAATCAGCGCGGAAGAGAAGACCAGGAGGGCTCCTCCCACGGCCATCGCCGCCCTGGCTATTGGCATCTTGAGCTGGGTGAAACGCCGGTCCAGCTGCTGGGCTTTCTCCCCGTCTGCTCCGCTGAAGCCGCTGTACGCCCCGCCGTACATGTAGTAGTAGATGCCGCCCTGGCCGGGGACGCCCGTGTAGCCGCCCACCGAGCCGTAGGATACGGAGCTGCAGACGAGGATCAGCGCGGCGAGCAGCGCTCCCACCAGCTGGCAGCAGGCTGCAAGGAGAGGCGTGCTGGGCTGCTGCCGCCATGCGCCGGCACAGAGGCAGGGCCGGGTTGGGCCGCCCGCCGCACTGGGACAGAAGGAGACGTCCCCGCCTCCCCCCGGCCCCGCTCACCCCGGCCCGTGCGCAGGTAGCGGCAGCGGCGGCACTCCAGCAGCCCCGACGTGTCGACGTGGCCCCGCGGCGGCTCCGCTCCGGGCACGGCGCTGCCGGCAGACAACGGCGTGAGCGGCAGCGGCGGGAGCCGCGCAATCCCTCCGCACAACCCCTCCTCTCCCTCCTGCGTCCCTCACGTCCGCCGCCCGCACTACCGTGCCGAGCCCAGCCCCGGCCGTCCCCATCCCCTTGCGGCCGCTCACCGCCCGCCCGCCCGCGGGGCTCGAGAGCAACTCCCGTCCGCCATGGCCCCGCGCGGCGCCGAGCGCTGGGGGAGGAGCGGAGGACCGCGGGGCGGTGCCCGGTGCCGCGGCTGGACGTCTCCGCTCCTCCGCCTGGGGTCGTCCTGCTCCTCTTCGAGGGCCGCGCGCAGCGCCGCCTTCCCTTGAGCGCTGTTCTTCGGTGCGCGAGGCCCAGGAGTTTACCCACGTTCCGCCGAAACTCCGCGTGGTCCTGAAGTTCACCACCTGTCGTACAAAAGCACTTTTTTACGGGGCCTGTCTTCAGCACTTGCGATGTGTCCTTAAGTGCTGCTGTCGGATTCCGGTTCATCACTCCACAGGAGGTGTTCCCGCAATTTTCTTCAGTCCCATTACCTTGTATCTATGAACACAGAACCATAGAGGCCTCATTAGTGTCCATTTGCTGGAGGCCACCCCAGGCAGAGCAATGTGACATTTTCACAAGCTGCCCAATTTCCATGCAGAACAATGTCTGGCTGCCCAGCGGGACTGACTGCCTCTGTCCCGGAGTCTGCTGAGCGCAGCTGTCACCATGCAGCCGGGAGGAAACTGACTGATCCATTGTTCGCTGGTAGTTGCTGGAATGAAGGCAAGTGAGTGTATGTGGGAAAAAAATAAACGTGGCGCAACAGGGAAACACAGAGGGGAACAGAACACAGCCAGGGAGAATGCTCTTCTCCCAGGGTTCGCCCAACTGCTGCCTGGAAAAGCGTTGGCATTGCAAAGAAGTGCTTTTGTTGTATTTAGGAAAATTTCAAGGAAACAGTACTCCAGGAGGTCTCAGTATCTGAATGCATGATGAGAAGTCCAGTTTCAGCACAAAGGTGCAGAAATGCATTTCCTCCATCTGTAAGAAGTGAGATAACTACACTTCTGTCCTTGCAGGAGAAACAGCAACAGATCTGCAGCCTGGAGCACTGAGAGGCTTACACTGAGAGGGCTGTGCTGCAGCCTCAGCACTGCAGGCCAACAGCCTCCAGCCCACTTCACACTGCTGCATGAAGTGGGGCTCTGCAAACTTGCCTTAAAATCTATCTTGTTTGCAGATAAGACAGAAGCAAAATAAAATGAATTCTTGTTTTTCTCCAGTTCAGGTAGAGGGGGCAGGAGCTGTAGGACAATGTGATGTTAGAAAAGTTTGCTAATGACACCAAGCTGAGCGGTGCGGTTGACACGGTGGAAGGAAGGGATGCCATTCAGGGGGTCCTCAACAGTCTTGAAAGGTGGACCCAGGTGAACCTGATGAGGTTCAACATGGCAAAGTGCAGTTTTGCACCTGGGCCGGAGCAATCCCAGGCATCCATACAGACTGCAAGGAGCAGCCCTTGAGAGCAGCCCTGCGGAGGAGGACCTGGGGGTCCTGATGGATGAAAAGCTTAATATGAGCCAGCAGTGTGCTCCTGCAGCTCGGAAAGCAAATGGTGTCCTGGGCTCCATCAGCAGAGAGGTGGCCAGCAGGGACAGGGAGGTGATTGTCCCCCTCTACTCTGCTCTTGTGAGGCCCCATCTGCAGTACTGTGTCCAGGTCTGGAGCCCCCAGTATGAGAAAGACAGAGAGCTGTTGGAGAGGGTCCAGAGGAGGCCACAAAGATGATCAGGGGACTGGAGTACCTCCGCTACAAAGACAGGCTGAGGGAGCTGGGCTTGTTCAGCCTGGAGAAAAGAAGGCTGCGAGGTGACCTCAGTGCAGCCTTTCAGTACCTAAAGGGAGCCTACAGACAGGAGGGGAGTCAACTCTTTGAAAGGGTAGATAACAGCAGGACAGGGGGAAATGGTTTGAAGTTGAGGGAGGGAAGATTGAGGTTGGACGTCAGGGGGAAGTTCTTTACTATGAGAGTGGTGAGGAGCTGGAACAGCTGCCCAGAGAGGCTGTGATGCCCCGTCTCTGGAGGTGTTCAAGGGCAGATTGGATGGGGCCCTGGGCAGCCTGGTCTAGTATGAAATGGGGAGGTTGGTGGCCCTGCATGTGGCAGGGGGGTTGGAGATTCATGATCCTTGAGGTTCCTTCCAACCCTGGCCATTCTGTGATTCTGTGATTCTATGAAATGGAGAAACCTTGTGGAGGCCAGGGTGGGGGCTTTAGAGACTGTGCAGATGCTCATCGATAGACTCTCACACATGTTTTGGTGTGCTCACGTTTCAGTCTCTCATGTTCATGTTAGAACTAAGACCTTGCTGCTGGGAAGAGGATGCGGGTAAAAGTTGTCAGCAACTCTTCATTTAATTTTAGGATCTTGGGCAATACCATTTTACCTAGTAGAGCTGTTAATCGCTGTGAAAGGTATGAGAACAACCAAACTGAATAACTGTGAGTACTAATAGTTGTTTCTAATGCAGTGTTGCTGCTGGTCCTTCAGCAACCTGAGCCAAAACTGTCTTCGGATTTTGTGATGTGCTGAAATTAGTTATTTAAAAAAAAAAGACAGAGCTGGGAAGTGCTGTTGATTTGGTGACACATCAATGTTCTACTAGAATGTTTGCTGCTGGGTACAAACTTCAGGTCATTGCTAATCTGATTCAATCGTATTCAGTTTCTCTGACTGTATTCAGAACTGTTACCAAAATGTTTTATATCACTTGTACTCAATTATCACAACTGGTAAACCAGCTGAACGTGGTCAATGACACCTTTTGGATTACTATCCTCAGCAACAAGAAGCAGGAAGTGGCACTCAAGAGAAGAAAGCAATAAGCTCTGTTTACCTTTGCTTTGGCTTCTCTTTTTTTTTTCTTCTTTTTTTTCTCCTCTTCTGTTTCTGGCTGCTCCTGATGTTACTGCCTCGTGATGGGGAGGGAAGGGCCAGGCCTGGCTGCCATGGGCCAGGAGCTCTGACCTGGTTCAGTGCTCTCCCTGAGACCTTGCAGGGTGAAGTAGGAACAACGAGTCACGGACTGCTTCATACTTCTCTAGCATGAGGCATCTGGGAGCTGCAGCACAATCCCTGCTGAACACCACAAACAGATTTACCATCTCACGCAAACAGTCATGGAAACAGTGAATGCAGCACAATGACAAAGCATCTGTGCTGCGGGAAAGAACAGGAGGTTTTTGTGAATCACAAACTGAACTCAAGTCCACAGTGTCATTCTGTTGCGAAAAAAGCTAACATCACTAGGGTGTATAAACATAAATGTCACATGTAGGACATGTGAAGAAATTCTGCTCTCTCCTCCCCCTTTTGCACTTCTCTACAGCAAAAGAAAGCTCTAGAAATGCAACCTACAAAACAAGACATAGCCCGGTCCTCTCATTTGCCTGTAAAGTGCCTGCTAACAACTTGCAAGCTGGTCAAAAAGGAGGGATTTTAACAACTGCAAACTTGTAAAAAAAAAACACTGTCAAGAGAAGGGTAAGACGTTGTTCTCCCTATCTGTCATTGGCATGATCAGGAAGCAGTGATCTTAATTTGACGCAAAAGAGATGTGATTTAGGCATCCTCAAAAAAAAAAAAAAAAAAAAGAAGAAGAAAAAAAGACACATGCCCGACTTCCAGCACTTCCTAAGTTGGAGGGGAGTTGCTGGAGCAGCTAAGCAGGGCATGTTGTAGGTCTCTATCACTGGAGCTCATATTCAATCAGGGGAGTGGCTGACCTCTCTGTGTTCTGAAAGAAAAGTGCCTCAGTCTGCCTACGCCACTCACCACCAGCTCATGTTGTTCCCTTGTCCTACAGAGCCATCGTGTTCCTTTCCATCTCATTCTCATTGGCTGGTCTTTGCCTGCATGGCTTCAAGGCCATCCATGGGGCAGTTGCCTCAATAAACAATGCAACAGCACAAGTATCTGAAGTCATACCTCAAACATGGGAATGCACTTACGCAACATTTGTCTGGATGTAAGCAAAGAACAAGGCTTGGCAAGGTACTTGTCTTCCCGGTGCTTGCACCCAGGAGCCACTCACATGGCCACTAGTGTGGAGCATTCTTTGCTGCAGCTTTAGGAGGGCCTGTTAATCCTTCACTGTGGCTGCTGGGCCTGTAGTCATCAGTGCTGCTGACTCCATGAGCCTGGGATACTTGCTGGTTTGCTCAGTTAGAAATGTCCTGGGAGCCAGTAATTAGTCACAAAATTCACTGGAGCCAAGGAGTCTTCACAGCCGTTTGTTCATCTATAGGAGAGATTGATAAGAAATTGTTTAAAAATAAAAAATAAAGGGAAAAATTACATGCTTAGTTATTAAAGACTGATACTGCTAGAAAGGTCTAAACAGCAATTAGGCAACAGACATTTAGTGGAGCACTCCTGACCTTGTTGTTTCTGACACTGTGCCAGTGTCAGAAAGAAGCAGACAGAAACTGCTGGAAAGATAAGCAGAATACAGGGAGGTAATTACTGAGGTGACCTGACCTGTAATTGATCCTACTAGATTTTTGTGCAGAGCAGCTGAGTGTTTGTCCCTGGATCAGCATATCCTGAATGGTAGTGCAGAGCATATGTGCAAAACTCTATTGGAGCATGTCCTGCCTGCAGCCTAACTGAAGGCATAGATTTGCCAGTGTAGCAATGGTTGTATTCATGCTCCACTCAAGCAGCCATTTGTCAGTCCTCCTTTATAACTGTGGCTCGTCTTGGAAAAGGGAACTGCTTGGTTTTGTAGGTTTGACCTCTGTTCACAGAAACTGTCTTCGGAGCAGTTGTTGTACAAGAGCAAGGCAGCGCCAAGGAACCATCAAAGCATCATCAGTTTCTTCTTCATTGCTGATGCTACAGAAGAAAAAGGGAGCTGAAAAGGGACAAAACAAGAAACCCATAAGGAGGAACTGCTAAGGAAGAGAAATAGATGGTGTGTGAGGGCTGGTGGAGTACAGAGTACCACCAGCTGCCTTACTGCAGAAACATGTACTGCAGAGTATGGACACCTCTTTTGCTACATTATATGTGGATTGGCATCACTGTATTTGGAAAACTTGAAGTGCTGAGCTGTGTGCTCATGCCTTGTTCCTGGGAGGCTTTGTGGGCAGAAGGTGATGGGGAGGGCTGTATGACATGGGACTGTCCAGATAAGGACTGGAGTCATGCAGGGAGAAGAGAAGGGCATAGCAATAGCAGGATAAACCCACTGACCCCATTGCACTGTGTCCTTCCCATGTCTGGACAGGTTCTCATCTCTATGTAACTGAGTCTACCTGTGCCTCCAGAGCCACGTTCTCCTCTTGGCAGCAGGCCACCCAACCATGCCCTCCCCTGCACCCCACTGCAGTGTGCAGAATTATGGGTAGAGCTCTGGTTGCATCATGTTCAGTGTTGTTGCTAGGCAGAACATGCAGCAGCGTCCTTGAGACCTCCCAGCAGCACATTTAACCCTGGTAGGGCTGCACCACATCAAGAGATGAGGCCAGCTAGATGTGAGAAAATTACCCGCATGTGCTTGGAGAGGACACACCTGAGCTTCTGAAGGTCATCCATTTCAGGCTTCAGAAAAAGAAGAGAAACACTAGAGCTGTGCAGCTCTCAACAGAAGAGAATATAAACAGCTTCAAAACAAGATATTTCTATGTTAGATGTTTTTCAAAGGCATTATTCCTTGTTCAAAGCCCCTAGGGGTACCTGCTGTGGGAGGCCTGCCAGTAAAACTGGGATAGGAGTGTCTGGTCAGCCCCACTGGCTGCAACCCACCAGGGCACAGCCCATCTCCAGAACCTATGTCACCAGTCCCTGTTGTGCCCTCAGCAGCACCTAGTACAGCACTGCAGCCAACAGCAGGTCACAACTCCCCAGCAGCTTTACCCCAGACCCATGACCAGGGCTGGGAGGGTCACACCACTGCACATGGGAAGATGCAGCCTTATTGCTGGTAATGCAGGAGACATGTGCTAAGCACAGGTGGTCCTCCTTCCTCCCACACAAGAACAGATTGGCTATGACCACAATCAATCAATCAATCAATCAATAACAGTTGGTTACTGCTGACCTCTGCAATGGAGGTGTCAGCAGTCTGTTTACCAGGAGATAATAGGATGCCTCTTGCCTCTAAGCAGCTCTTTGATCTCCAGCCATTTGCTGTCAAGGTAGTAGAGGAAGACTTGTAGCAGCCCTTGGAAGACAGGAGGGGTGTGGATGGACTTTCTTATTTATCCCCAGTTTGTAACAGGCAAAGGACAAGGGAGCATAGATTTTACATCGCTTAAGAAGAAAGGGCCTTCTGGTAATGGCATCATTTGTGCTTGCAGCACTATCAGGGGGGAGGGAATTTCAGTATCTCTGTTACTTGCCAAAATGATGAGAGTTTGCTTGGGTATTGCGACAACAACAACAAAAAAAGGTAACTTGAGCTTCCTTTAACCCTTCAGCTCCTGGTGCCTTCTTTCCTTCCTATCATCCTATAGGCAAAAAAATCCCCTCTGTGTAGCAGTGCCATAATGTCTTTTCTCAGCATTAAGAAAGTGAGCCTTTGAAGTGGGGCAGGGCATACCATTACTATCTGCTGGTTTTAGAGTCCACCAACCCATTCTTGGTGCATTACAAGATGCTAGGATTGGAATATGGGCTTTGCCCTATGGGATTCTTCCTCTTCCCCTACCACCAAGCCTTCCAGTGTAGAGCGAAGTCATTCAAATGGGTGGTGGTCCAAGGCTTCCAGGAAGCAAAGCTGTGGCACTCTGTAGGCTAACTCACAAAGAGTTAATGTGCAGGCATGTTCCAGTTATTTGCAGTGAATGTGGTTACAGAGGAGAGGGCGTTTTTGGGTGGAGAGAGCAGCCCTCTCTGTGAGCCAATGGCTAAAGGATTCTGTCCCAACGCCCAGTTTGGGGACTTATTTCATGGGCAAGAATTTGCAGGAATTCCTTCTCAAGATTTGTCTTGGATGAAAAGCAGGGTCTGGACCTCTAAGCTTGTTGGTGACTCCCCCTCTCTGCTGTTAGAAGGTAAAGTACAATCCTCTGGTACCTTCTTTGGTGATGCTGATGTGTGGGGAATGTTTCCCTGTCTGCCTACACTGAAGGCATCTATTTTGCCTGCATATGCAGCTTCCCTCTGCATGTTGCAAAGTGTTTTGAAGGCTCTGCTGAGATGTGCATTGTACACTGGGACTCATCTCTGCTGTTGAACAGAGACATGCGGCTCATTTATTTTCTCAGTTTTTATGCAGTTATGAAGAATCAGTGTGGTTCTTCAGTTACCCTTCTTTTGGTACAAAGGACACTCATGAGGCATTATAAGTAGGGAACGTTAAGTCTTCTTTTATCACTACCACCTCTTAGATCTATCTCAGTTGCTTTAAAGACGAAGCACTGCTGGTAGAGTAACTTCAGCAGCATGGGGCATATCTATGAGCAAACCTTACTGAATCAGTGAGATATCTGTTTATGTGGCAAATCCCTCCTGAACCGGGTAATGCGACAACCCTTTCAGTGTTGGGAGGGTCAGCTAGCTCCCTTGTTTATCATGTTAGGAATATCTGTGAAGATGGCATCTAACAGCTGATGGGGCTACATAACTACCATCAGGAATGGGTCACAGTGAATTGTCTTTTAGTGGAGCAGAGAAAAAGAGCCCTGCAGAAACAGAATATGGGCAGCTGATGAAAGGATTACAAGGCACAATTCTGATGTCACTGAGAATAGGCTTGGTGGCTAAGGAGATCTCTGTTGGTGCTGTCCCTAACCTCCTCCTGAGATTAGCAGCAGCTCTTAAGCTTTTGCTGTTTTGGACTAGGTGGTAATTTGGGTATACATGCTCAAGGACATACAACACTTTCCTGCCTACTTTCGGAGGTCTAGAAGGCAGTTGTTCCTCTGCTGTGCCTTGCTTGTTACCCAGCCTCAGGCAGGATTGCAGACACTTTGCCTGGGATGGTGTCCCAGCACCTGCTGTAGGGAACCTGCTTTGGCAGGGGGGTTGGACTCGATGATCTCTGGAGGTCCCTTCCAACCCCTTCAATTCTGTGATTCTGTGATTCTGTGATTCTGTGTCACCATCTTGATTTCCCTCATGACCCCACCAGCATTTCTTCATTGATTTTTAAGCACTTCCTTTTGGTCTGGAGTCTGTTTTGGACTGGAGTGCTGCCATAACCTACACCCTAACACTGTTAACTGTATCCTGATAAGATGGTATCAGAACTATTTTTCGTTATTTAAGGCTTAATTTTAACAGTATCACATTTCAATCTGCAGACTGGAGGGACTTTCTGGGTGTGGTACACATACAAACTGGGTTACAACTTGGGGTCTGCAAGTTAATAGCTGGCCCTTCTATCAGCAGAACACTGAATCTGCAGCCATGCAATGACTACAGTATGCTGCTAACTACTAGATGATGCATTTATGATTTAGCAGGACTGCTCCTCTCCGGCACAGCAATTGCCCTCATACTAAAAAGCAATACGACTAGCACAGGAAAATGCTTCTGTCTTTCCTGCTCCATTGTGAGCTCATTTGTGTGTGGAGATTCATTCCTTCCTGATCCTAAGTACAACTTCACTTGCTGCTAGTGACTGACTTGCACATAGACAGCGGGCAGTTCTGCAGCTTTCAGAAGTTTTGGTTTTGGAGATTGATAGGCAGTGCCTCCCAGGTAGGCAGAGCCTTCATCTGGCATGTACTAACCAAGCTCAGGAAATCCATTTACCACTAACAACTTTCAGGATGGACTCGTACCTGATCCAAGTGAATGGCCAAGGAGATCATGTCCCCCTGTTGGATATTCATCTCAAGACCAATGGAAACAGCATGTCACTGGGAAAGGTGAAGGGCCGGAAGCCAAGATGGGCTGTCAGGGCTTCTGAAATGTCAAAGAAGACTTTCAATCCTGTCAGAGCCATCGTAGACAGCATGAAGGTGGAGCCCAACCCAAAGAAAGCCATGATCTCCTTGTCTTTAGGTGAGCACAGTGCTGTGGCTGAAACCTCTGAGCAGTGAGGTGGCCTGTGGGGCTGCCAGATTGCAGGGCTCTGAACCACAAAGCTAGCGGGGAACAACAGAATGTGCTAGATTGCCACACAGCTCTGTGGCTGCCACAGATTAGCGAGAACTGATTTTTTTTTTCTTTTTTTTTTTTTCTGATTTTTGTTATTTTTCAATCTTTGAAAAGGAGACCCAACAGTCTTTGGAAACCTTCCCACAAATGATGAGGTCACGCGAGCTATGAAGGAGGCTTTGGACTCAGGACATTACAATGGTTATGCTCCATCTGTAGGTAAGCTGACATAGGTTAGGCACGTGGCAGGTCATTCCCCACAGCAGGTTTATGGAGCCCACAGACATCCCTCGGGTAGCACTCTGCAGCTCCCTTCTCAGCAGTCCCATGAGCTCACAAATGTGTATATCTCAGATGCCATGAGTGCCCTTCCCTGCATGATCTGGTTGAGAAGGCATCACAAAGGTGTTTTCCCTGAGATACAACCATGGCTCAGATTCTCCCACAATGAGCTGTGTTTGCTTCCTGAGCCATTAGAGCAGGCAGGGCTCCAGCAACACAGAAAGCCTTAGGACTATCTCCTGGCCATGGACTGCAGCCAAATTCCTCCTGGTATACCTTGACCAGGACTCCTTTTGCATTCCCTGCCTTTTTAGAGAATGAGCCTTGTTTGCAGTTAGTGCAAACAGCATACACAGAGCACAGACCACACTTGCCTCACAGAATTCTCTGTGACAATAAGGACCCAGTGCAGAGAGGGCTGCCCTTGTACCACCACTAAACAAGTGAAGGTCGTGCAACAAGTCTTGGTTTCCTACTGGGTAAAAATATCTCCCTGGCTACATTCTACCCAGCTCAATTGTGTTCCATGTCCAGCACACCTGGGGCAAAAACCACCCCTCTGTCCAAGGCCTGTCTTCTCTCATGACACACCTGGCCCTGTCTTGGGGCTGCAGGCTGCCTGACCTGAGACAGAACAATCTCTGCCACACTGACACAATGCCATTAACAAATGGGCTTACTCTGGCTGGGCAAGCACCTGGGAACCTTGTCCTAGCAAAAAAAAAAAAAGAGAGAGAGATGTTCTGTAAAAACCTGTCTGCCATTTGTGGCTCTTCTCTCCACAGGCTACCAGTCCTGTCGAGAAGCAGTGGCTGCATATTACAACTGCCCAGAGGCACCATTGGAGGCCCAGGTACCGGTGTCCAGCCAAGATATTGCCACTGCAGTACAGGCAGATTGCTGCTGCCCATGCCTGGACCATGTGGCAAAGGGACTCTGCCCCACCTCTTGTTGTTCCCTCTCCAGCCTTGGGACCTGTGGGTAGCTCATGGCCTTGTTCCACACCAACCTGCTGCTCCCTTTCCCTGCCTTGGACCATTCTATTCCACCTTTATTGGAAGGACGTCAAGCTCTCTAACTGTTGGAGGTTCCCCAACTTTAGTCAGGCTCCACAGTCATTCCATGTGGCTGGGGATCCTCAGAGTGGTTGCACTTTCCACTCATTCCTGTGTGTTCTTTGCAGGATGTCATCTTAACAAGTGGCTGCAGCCAGGCCATAGAACTTGCCTTGGCAGTGCTGGCTAACCCAGGCCAGAACATCCTGGTGCCACGGCCTGGCTTCTCTCTCTACAAGACTCTGGCGCTGTCCATGGGAATTGAAGTTAAACTTTACAATCTTATGGTAAGTGGTAGCAAGCTTGGAGAGGGCAGTCCTAACACCTCTGCCTCTTAAAAATAAATAAATAAAAATCTTGACCCTGCCTGGGAAATGCGTAAATATCATCTGAGCATCCTTGGGCACCTTGTCAAACCTCACTCTCTGTATTAAGTGCAATTCTTCCACCCTACTTCCCCTTTTCTTCTTTCATCAGCCAGAGAAGTCCTGGGAAATTGATCTGAAGCATTTGGAGTCCCTGGTGGATGAGAAAACAGCTTGTGTAATTGTGAACAACCCATCAAACCCCTGTGGCTCGGTGTTCAGCAAGAGCCACCTCCAGAAGATCCTGGCAGGTAAGACTGCATGTGTGTATCTGGGCTTTGGCTGCAGACTGGTGTTTGTCCAAACTGCCAGTGCCTTAATCACTGTTTTTCTGCAAGGCTGTGGCTGCTGCTCTGCAATGTAACAACAGTGTTACATGAAGCAGTGCAGTGGTCCAGGGGTTTGTCTCTTACCTCATGACTGATTGCAGCCTTGAACCGCACTCTGGGCTTGTTCAGTATGAAGAGTTTGCCTTTTCTGGGCAAGAACACGTATAATGTGTGTCTCAGTATTTCTGAGATGGCCGGTGTGGCTTGGGTCACTTATTTCTCCACTCTGGCTCCTCAGAAAGTTCATAGGAAGCCCTATGGCTCCTGAGCACTGGCCTGCCAGTGCAGGTCTACACGTGAGAGCAGAAGTAGGCTCAGCCAGGAAGGGCCCTCCAAATGATCATCACCCTGTAGGAGGAAAAGAGAAACCCTCGGCCCTGGGGCAGAGTTTCCAGGTCCTGTAGAAAAAGGCAAGTCTGTTCCCCTGGAGGACACAGGATGACTACGCTGAATGCCCTCTCTCCCGCAGTGGCATCAAGACAGTGTGTGCCCATCCTTGCTGATGAGATCTATGGAGACATGGTGAGTGTCCATCACAGTCCTTTCCACCCTTACACTACCTGTCTTCTCTGCTGCACTTGCCCTTTGGCCATGGCAGCGAGCTCTTCAGAGGTGACAAATAGCATCTCTTCCCTGTACTGTTCCTGAGCCCATGCTTGTAATATGTTGTCCTGGGTGTACATTTCATTTCCTGCTTCATTTCTTGTGTCTCATGCACAGTCCCCCCAGTTTTCACAGTGAGACACAGTGACAACCCTAACACAGTTACCTGTCATAGGTGTTTGCTGACTGCAAATATGAACCCATTGCAACTCTCAGCACCAATGTGCCAATTTTGTCCTGTGGTGGCCTGGCAAAGCGATGGCTAGTCCCAGGCTGGCGGATGGGCTGGATCCTAATCCATGACAGGAGAGACATCTTTGGTAACGAGGTGAGAACTGCCAAATGTCACTGTCAAGACAACAGATCTGCACTATCTTCAGTGTGTGGATCAGCAGGGCTTAGACTGATAGAGGCATGTACTGCTCTTTTGCTTTCGTTTGCCAAACTCTCATCTTTTTTGTGTGCTTCTGCTTTCTTCTCTTCTCAAATAGCTCCCGTGTTCATTGATGGTATTGCATGGTTTATCCAGCAGTCTCTGGGGTCTATGAGCTCTCATATGTTTTCTCTTGAAAGTGGGACCAAAATTCCAAGCCTTGTAGCCAGTGTTTTGTTTGGCTATTCATACATGTTACAAGAGCAAATGCTGCTACTACTGCAGTGACCTTTCTACCCAGCAGTGAGTGAGCAGAAAAGCTAATGTTAATTCTCCCTAGTTGACTTTAGAAGTGTGGAATGTGGGCACAAACCTAACGGACATGTAAAGTGGTATTTGGATTAGATCTGGTTTTATTTAGTCAGAATATTAACTGTTTTAAGTCAGACTGGGAAGCTCAAAAGGATATTTCTGCTGGCATTACAGTCTTCAACTGGGGAACAGAGAATGACAGTGAAAGTAGTCTGCAGATACCTGGCATGTAGTCAAGTAAATGTTCTGAAGGACTCCATGCTTACTGAAGAGAACTTTTACAGACAGTAGGCCTTGGAGCTGTTAGAAAAGCACAGAAACACAGTCAGAGCATAGTCTGCAAATGTCACCATATTTCTTTCAGATCAGGGATGGCCTTACCAGGTTGAGCCAAAGGATCCTAGGACCCTGTACAATTGTCCAAGGAGCACTGGAACGTATCTTGCACAGAACACCCCCCGACTTCTACCACAACACCCTCAGCATCCTCAAGGTAATCAGGTTGTCAGTAGTTTGCTCAGGTATTATTTGGAGTGAGGGAATCAGTATCTCTCTAGCTTATTGTTGTGGCAGGAATACTGGCCATGACAGGCAGCCCAGCTTTGAAGCTAGAGCTGGTGACCCAGGTGGTGGAGCATTAAGCCCTGACTTGCTGAGTTCAGCTCAGTGATGTCTGCCTTACTCAAGGCCATAATCACCCATACTGTTTGTGTTCCTTGCCCCTTTATTTGCAGCGGGCAAACTTGTTCATAGTCCTGGTCCAGAACTTGGTTTCCATTTGCTAATCAGCTTCCTAGAATTTCTCCTGTTGTTGAACTTTCTCCTTTCTACTTTTCAGTCCAATGCTGACCTTTGTTATGCTGCTTTGTCAGCTATCCCAGGCCTCCAGCCTGTTCGGCCTGCTGGAGCCATGTACCTCATGGTAAGTGAGGAGGGTGAAATGCCATTCCAGTTATCAGTGGTTACCCTACAACTCAGAAATAGAAATATACTGCAACATCAGTCTCACTCATACTCAATAGATAAATCTTTATCAGTTTGCTAGTAGCCAGTCTTACCCAGAGTGACAGTCATTCCTATGCTGCTTATGCAGAGGGATAGCTCTAAGGCTTGTTCACACCTCTAGTATTTCCATAGTATCTAAACATTTATTCCATATGAAATCAGCTGGTAAAATTTTTCTCCTGCTGGCTTTTTCAGACCTTCTGCATGCAAATTATCTCTCACCTGTTTTATTTGAATATTGAATATTTTCATAAGAAGTCTTTGGTTATGTGATAATGGGACAGTCTTCTTTTTTTCCAAATACAGCACAGAAATAGTTACTGAACATTTCTTATTTTATTTGTCACTTTACCAGTTATATCATCCACGCCTATTTGACCACAAAGAGTTCTTTTCTCCATAGGATTCTAGACCTCGCTTTCTTAAAAAACAACAACAACAACAACAACAAAAAACCCTCATTAATTTATCTCCAATCCTTTTTTCTTACCTTATGGATTTCTTGCATGATGGAATTACCAGTAGATTATGGGTAGAATTCTCTCACACACTTTTTTTTCCTTATCTTATTTATCCCTTATCATTTCTAATTGGTTCCGGTATCCCTGCTACCAGCTTTTGAATAAAGGTGTTGTAAACTGAAATTCCAGCTTTGGGCAGCTAGTTTTAAATTTACTTCACTTTTTAAAAATTTTCCAGATTTCACTGATATGTTTCTGTTTGTCTCTCGTGTTCAACTCAGACCAGATGATGAGCAAAAGTTCCTGAGGACAGACAGCTGCACTTAGCTGGGAAATTGTTGAGCGATGTGGGTAAGCATGGTATATAGTAATGGTTGCCACGTTTCATTCTGCTGCAGGTTGAAATTGAAATGGAGCATTTTCCTGAATTTGAAAATGATGTGGAGTTCACTGAGCGGCTTATCTCGGAGCAGTCTGTGTTTTGCCTGCCAGCTACAGTGAGTCTGACAATGAGAGCCCCAAGCGTAAGGAGAGAAGCAATAGGGGTTTGCATCCTTGAGCTCTAGGGACAGTCGGGGAATCTAGTACGTAATGTTCATGGTCTGTAATGGTGTGTATGTACTGCCTGTGAGGTCCAAGTGCAGTGTAGGGAGGGCAACTGGGAAGTTCCAACTCAATAGCAGTCCTCGTGTGGACTGCCAGGATTGTCCCAAACTTGCTCTTTATTTCAGATGTTGGCAGAGTTGTATCTCTGAACTGTATGTACTCCCATACCGCCTTGCAGAAGTAACTCAGAGGCCTTGGTACTGTTCCCACCTATGCTCCTTCACATGCTCCATTTCCAGTCCCCCACACTTGTAGGAAGAGACTACAGACTTGAGAGTCATGTTTGTGCCCATGTCCATCCTGCTCTACATCCTGCACTGAATCCTAGGACCTCAGACATTCTCCAGTTCTGACCTTCTCTAACCCTTTGAAGAGAAGGGAGGAATCCCTACCTCCTTGTGGACCGTTCCATGGTTCCTCCACAGTCCATACAGTGCTTTGGCCTGTGACTGGCACAGCATTATGTCTGCACTAACAAGTTTTACAGAGGGAGCTGGGAGGTATGCTTGGAATGAAACAATCTAATGGAGTGATAGTCCAACCATGCCATCTTCACTCTATGTTCTGTGCTGAACATTTTCACTTGTTGATATAGAATATGGCCCCAGGGCAAGGCTCTGAGACGCCAACAGTATCCCAAATAATCTGCCAGTCTCATTCTTTATCATTTCAGTGCTTTGAGTACCCAAACTTCTTCCGTGTGGTGATCACTGTACCTGAGGAGATGATCTTGGAGGCCTGCAGTCGCATTCAGGAGTTCTGTGAGATGCACTACCAGGGTGCTGAGGGGGCCCAGGATCTTGAGTGTGACAAGTAGCTACAGCCAACCTCCTGCCTCTGCCAGGCTAGACCTTGTGTGAGGTGGCAGGCAGGGCTGCTTCCACCCAGCACCACGTCTCCCTGCCTATAGGCAGGTGCTGTCCTGCTGCTTCACAGACCTCTCAGCACCATAGAAAGAAGCAGACCTCTCTTTTTCCACTGCACCTTCCACACCCTCTGGCATCTGATGCCTGTGGTTCCCATATACTCTGCATCTGCACCCCATACTGGTCTCTGTGCTGGCCACAAACCAGCCACAGGCAGGGACACCTGGCTGCTCCTGCACTGAGATCCATGGCATTGACTCTGAGTGGCCAGAAGCTCCTGCACTGCCTGCACTCCCCCTCTGGGGCAGGAGATGGTCACAATCTCAGAGAACAAGAGACACTCACACACCTCTCACCTGTCTTACTTTAGGAGGCCAGAGTGCTTTATACCAAGCCCTTTGTTCAGCAGAGGGAGTAAGTTATTGTGACTTTTTTTATTAATAAATCTTCTGACATGGCAGTCCTCATGGTGTGTCAGTAAGGGCTTGTGCCCAGTGGGTCACTCTTGTTCAGTCTGTGGTGTCCCATGTTCGTCTCTGTCCCTGCAGCTGCCTGACCGGGGCCTGCCCTACCACCAGCCAAAGCATGGGACAGCCCGTTCAACCCTGGCAGTGCTCATCAGGTTGTCAGGGCAGGACAGGCCCTGCAAACCTGGTACAGACAAGAGCCAACTGCTCCCATTCCAGTGAGCCTAGAAGCTTCCTGTGGTGGCTGGGCCCCTCCACAGCTCACCCCATCTTCTGCTGCTTGTTGATCCTTACAGTCGCTCCCAGCAGAGTGATGTAGGCACCAATGTAGGCCAGGCACCAACCTCCAGATATTCAAGGTGGGTGTTTCCCACTCCGGCAGTAAATGCCAAGGTGGTACTTCTCTGAAGTGCTTTCCCTGTGTGAATGTTTGTGATGTGCTGTCATGCCCAGGTTGCTGATGGCTGAATGCGTGAGCCCCATAAAGTACAAAGAACTGATGGCCTGGCGCCTAATGGAAAAATGGGCCCATCAAACTGACTGCTGTAGTCAGGGCTCAAAGAGTAATGTACAGTGTGCTTCATGCTGTCACCTGCATCTCTCTTCACCTGTCTTATGGCAAGGTGAAGCTCACAGGCTGACTTTGCCTTCCCTCCAGTATGAAAAATGAGCTGGCTCTGAATTACATGCTGTCAGACCTCCTGCTTTGTTGTGTGCACTCTTCTTCTGTCCAGCACAAAGTCTGAGTACCAGTATGCAGGAGAAAGCTATGTGAGAAAAATAGCAGTGTTTGAAAAGGTACTCATCAGCTGTGGGTCCAGGCTACATCCTTCCCTTTCAAACAAAGCAATCCCAGAAAAAAAGAGATAAGCTGGGCTGTGCGGGAACGAGAGGAACTTTGGAGATATGAGGTTACTAGACCTCAAAATAGAACCAGATAACATGAGTTGCTTGAGGCAAAAATTGACAAATGATAAATAGAATGGTGTATGGGGAGTCTGTTGGGTCAGGAGGCCTTTACAGCATGACATTGCTGCATTGTTCTACTATGTTGCATCTACTGCAGCTGTCGAGTTTGCCTTGAACTCTTCCCCAAGTATCTTGGGTTCTGAGGCTTTAATTTCCATTAATAATGAATGGTTTTCCCATTTTTAAACAAAGCTGCTCCTTTCAGATCCTTCTCCTTCATGGATCCTCTTTCCTCCAGAGTACTCCCAGAGATTTCTGTTAACGTGTAGCTAATCTTTAGTGATTAACGTCATTCTGGTTCCTCGTAGGTCGGCAAGCACCTAATCAGCAGCCAAAGGCATATGCCTCTTTACTTTTTTCCTTATAAATCTCAATATACTTAGATTTTTCAAGGCTGCTTCCTCTATTGCCATCATCTATTGTAAACATAATACTGCCTTTGTGTCACGAGTGCTTTGGTATAATTTTTCAGCACTCTAATGGCTGATCCACACCCATCCTCTATATCTTAGCTGGGGAGCACAAGCTGTATTTCCTGAGGCAGGCTTGCAGCATGCTTATCCTCTTTTCTACATTGTCTGGGCAAGCCATGTTTAGGAGAAAACACAAACACCAAACAGAGACCTAAGCGGTGAGGCAACCTTGTGCCTAGGCTACACTTATGCCTTCCTAGGGAAATGAAGTAACTTCTGAACTCCTAGGCAGATGAAGAAATTAAATTAAGTGTTCTCAGCTTCCAAAGGAGCTGGCAGCAGACTCACCTGCCTGGAGTACCACAATTTGCCCTGCTGGGCTGGGCTCAATCACACCTGCCAGCAATTAGGCGATCAGCATCCAGGTGCCCTAAGAACGTGGATTCAGCCCACTCTCCTCATCTACTGTCTCCTCTAGCAGTCCTGACTGTTCCTTTGTGGGCTGCTGCCTGGAATAGTTATTGAGTGCCTCCCACCATGAAGCTATGGCCCTTGACTGTGAGAGACTGTCTTGGACCAGCCTGCTCTCCACTCAAAAGCAGAATGCATCTGGATCCTTTTAGGTTTGTCTTGGAACCTGGGCAGTTGCGTAGAGATAATCAAGGTATGACCAAGGAAGTCCTGGCATTGCTCAGGAGTGGTAGGGGGAACAAAATGCTATGGGGAAACTGGTTGTGCAAAGCTTGTTTGGAGGTAAAGGGTGGCACATAACCTCATGCATTAGAAATAGTGTGGCTAGCAGGAGCAGGGAGGTGATCATCCCCGTGTACTCAGCACTGGTGAGGCCACACCTCGAGTACTGTGTTCAGTTTTGGGCCCCTCACTACAAGAAAGACATTGAGGCCCTGGAGCGTGTCCAGAGAAGGGCAACGAAACTAGTGAGGGGTCTGGAGCACAAGTCTTATGAGGAGCGGCTGAAGGAGCTGGGATTGTTCAGTTTGGAGAAGAGGAGGCTCAGGGGAGACCTCATTGCACTCTACAACTTCCTGAAGGGAGGTTGTGGTGCAAAAGGGTCTGGCCTCTTCTCCCAGGCAGATAGTAGAACCCGAGGAAATGGCAAGAAGTTATACCAGAGGAGGTTTAGGTTGGATATTAGGAGAAACTTTTTCTCTCAGAGGGTGGTCAGGCACTGGAATGGCCTGCCCAGGGAGGTGGTGGAGTCGCCATCCCTGGCAGTGTTCAAGAGGCGCCTGGATGAGGAGCTACGAGAGATGGTTTAGTAGCTTGTGGCACTGATAGGAATGGGAGGGTGGTTGGACTAGATGATCTTGCAGGTCGTTTCCAACCTTGTGTTTCTGTGATTCTGTGATTTGTCCAAGATGAACATGTAGGCCCTGTCAGAACTTGACACCAGATGAGCTGACCTCCTTCAGTAGTATTACCCATGAGTATTGGAGGAAGGAAATATTCAGTGTGTCAAAGGGAGATATGGACAGGATTCCAAGAAGTGAAATGTCCAGGACTGTAGGAAAGACAATGGGTATAAGAGGAAGTGGCAGCAGGAGGCCAGGGGACAGCATTTTCTTAAGGTGACTAGGAGCAATTTTGAAACCAGACTATGAGAAAGTAGAGGAGCTGTGGAAAAGGAAAGCTCAGTGTGGGCCAAGTCTTGCTATTGATCGAACAAGCACACAAGACTCATTGTCAGCAGGGGTACTGTCACTTGAAAGCTGGCTAGCTATGCTTAACAACCATTCAGGACAAGGTTGTGGTTGCGTCTTATACATTAGCCCTCAGTCTGAGAACCCAGCTGAAGAGTTCACTCACATATGGGTGAAGCAGGATGGGTGGAAGAATCAGCCAGCATCTTTACTCTTGCTTACTGCAACTCTGGGTAATTATTCCTGTATGCTTGCTGTACTCACATGCACCTATTACCTCAAAATCCTACTCCCAGTCATTATCAGTGTTCCATGAGTAAGATGCAAGTCATTCCCTGAACTGTTTGGCGTTTTAGGCAAATAGTTGAGCTAAATGGGAGCAAAGTCTGAAGATCAAGTTTATCTTCTGGGACTAGACTGTATCAGTTCAGGCTTGTATATTTACCTTAAACTGTTTATAATTCAGATTATAACTTTACAGTTTATCTCAAACACAAGAAAAAAGCTGTAGCAACAGAAATCCAGTGTCACACCAGGCTGTGCCGGGGAATTGCTATGGAGAATTGCTATGTCTCATGTAGGACACCACTTAAGTTATCTCCCTTGTTGTTCCTCATTTTAGAAATCAGATGGAGTGGGTTCTGCTCTGGCTCAGGAGAAACCAACCCTAACTGGCATTTAGTGTGGGCATTGCATCTATGCATTCTGGCACTTGCCTGACTGTAGATTTTCCTTTCCACCTCCTATGAACAACCAATTCTAATGCAACCAGAGAACGAGAGTGGATGTATAAAGCATCCCTGCCAAAAATATCTCTTTTCAAAAGCCAAAGAATTCTGCTTTGCTCTGCTGCCCTCAGCCCTATGAAAGCAACAAGCAATCAAGCAATTGAAGTGCAGGTTCGTTCTTTTTTTTTTTTTTCCAACTAGTATCAAAGAGCCAGGCTTTCCCTGTAAATGCTAAAATCCAGTGGTCAGTAGCGGGGTTAGCAGGCCTTAATGTGAGCAGCTGCACTGTAGCTTTATGTCACAGATCTAGCAGATAAAAACTTTCTCTGTCCTCTACAGCCTTAGTCACCTCAGCTAGAGAACACCTAAACTTCCTCTGCCTCGAGACAGAGATCTCTTTCTGTGGCAAGCATTTGCAAGTCCACAGTCACTGCATTGATTCACATGGTAGCTCCTGATTTTATGCATCTGGGATGCAGGAAACATGAGTCATGAACTAACTGATCTTTCTAAATAAATATTAGCAAACACGACAGTGAGACTTGTAGCCTAAATCCACCCTTCAGACAAGAGGATTTAAACAAAAAAAAAAAAAAAAAAAAAAAAGCAATAGCTTTGAGAATCTCCAAGGTTGAAGTCATGATTCTGAGCCACACAGGATAACAAACTTCCATTTAAAAAAAGAATGTACCTCCCATCCATGCCCGGAATCCTATCAGCAAGTAAACATTGCTTTCTCCAAAGGAGGGTGTTCCCAAGGGCACGGCTCTTGAGGTGGAGGAGTTTGTTTTGAAGAAGAGGGGAAAAAGGCACAGAATGTATGAAGGCCTTTCATCAGTTGTATGTTGCATAAGGCTGTGCTTCTGTGTGTGACAGATGGCTCCAGGGTTCGTATTCTTAATATTCTTCCACTGACTTAAGCACTAGAGCTCCTTTTGCAATTGGTGGAGAGATTTCTGCATTGTTCCCATGACCTGCTTCATATATAAATACAGAATAAGAGAAAATGTGCTCTCCAGGGCATGCGAGGGCAGTTGCTAAAATTCTGGCTAGCAGTAAAGATTGTGTATAGGGAGAAATTGTTCTTAGTCTCTTTTGATACAAAAATGTTGATGTTATTAAATACAGTTGTAATATGCTAGGTTCGAAACAGAGGGCAGTAGTTCTCAATGTGCAGCCAGACGTTCTCATTGCCAGGGAGTACTGTAGATGCCAGAAGTACCAGCGAGTTCAAAGCATGTCTGGACAAGTGAAAACAAAAAACCTAGGTGCTATGAAATACAAAGACCACTTTACTCTCAACTGATTTTATTACACAGCTTCAGTACTAATGCCTATTCAAAAATATCACCCTCTCCTCTTGTCATAGTCAATGGAAAGAAACATGAACTTCTAGGACATCACTCTAACTTGTTTTGAACATCTGTGTTTGGATAGGTGAATCAAGTACTGCAAACCTCGCTGCAGCTGTAGGAGCGCACATGGAGGAAAGCATATTCTCTTCTTTGGGCAGCTGCTCTTGATGGAAGAACACAGGGCAAAATCTGATCAGGCTTTTCAGCTGAGCTAGTTCTCCTGCTCCAAGTATGTCTGTTTCTCTCATCAGACTACTAAAGACATGCCTTTGGGGTGCCTGTACTACAGTGTCAGAACTGAAAAAGTATCTCTAGGCCATACCTTCAATGCTATTTCTCACTCTATTCCTATTACTGCTACAATGGTTCAGATGTGCCTGTGTGTGCCTTTCTCCTTCGGGAAATAAGAAATGACAGTTCACAGGGCTTGCAAGTCCAAGTCCCTAGAAAACACTTCTAATCAAGGAATGGAGTAGAAAACAGAAATACAGTCAGCCTCATGTTTGAGGTGGAAGGAAGTTGCTCAAGACCAAGTAGTAGGAGGCTAATTGCCATTAAGCACACGTTGACTGCTATACGCTTAAAGCTTTGCTTCATCTGTCGCTTAAAGCTTATCAGTCAGACATACAGGGAGAAGCAGGTCTTTTGTTCAAATGCCAGAGTGTTCTCCTTCACTTTCCACAATGTGCAGGTTTCTAGGAGGGCAGAGTGCCAGAACAATGTGCCTTCCCAAGCCTTGTCTCCAAGGAAGAGTACATTCTTCCCCTCTATGCAACTGCTTATGCCACAGAGGCTGCCTTCTGGAAAGCTCAGCCAAGCGGCTCGTACTTGCGATCTGTGTGAATGGAAAAGTCTGAGCTCTGTGACTGGAGCACTGTACAGCAGTGTTCAGTGCTGCCGTGGGGCCTGAATACTGGTGCCAAAGGGCCAGCATGGGCAAAATACGTACAGGTGGAGTAGGAGTTTCGTGTTTCTCTGTTCATGCAAGTGTTAGCAGGGAGAAATTAGGCTTCAGGAGGAGCTACTCAATGGTGTGACCCTAGATGTCAGTTTTGTAACTCTTACAGACGTTTTTGCTTAAGGACATAACTTAGCTGCTCAGGGAAACAGTACAGTGAAGGGTTGTTAGAGTTAGGGTAGTTCGGTTAGATTGTGGTTGGACTTCATGATCTTTAAAGTCTTTTCCAACCTGAGCAATTCTATGATACATACAAATCCATCCTACAGATGCTGTTTGTGAGGGACTAGGAACACATAGCTGAAATCCCAACTGCACACAACTTTGCTTGCTCGTCTTTGCAGGGCCGTATCTGGACAAGTGTCAGCTTCTAGCCTTGTTTCCTGACCCAAAATTACCAGGGCTTGACCATCTGTGTTTGTAATGAAGCAAGTGAAAGGGAACATGACCTTCCCTTCCCTATTCAGGCTCTCCCTCCTGAAAAGGCCTGTATTTTTTCCTACTACTATTTCTTATACTCCAGCAGTCCTCAGAGCAGCACAGTAAGCTCTCCAGGAACAGAGGGCACCATCAAGAGGTCAACATCTCACCAGAAAGCATAAAGAAAAGATTATACTTGGAATAGGAATTACCTGAAGTGACTTGTCTTCTCACAGTGGCAGAATACTATGCATTTCCTCAGTCCAGCTCTGCTCTTCTTTACCACTTTACCTGGCATAGCCCAACTGCAGCTCCAGTATCCTTCTGAATTGTTAACAGGACAAGTCTGGCAGCTCCTTTTTCTGCTGCCTCTTTCTGGCAATTTTCAGCTCCCAGAAAATCAACTCAAGCAGGTCACAATCCTGTTCCACATCTTAAAGACAACAGGCTCTTCTGAAGCCTGCAACAGATCTCAGCAAAATCAGCTTTCAGTTGCCCTCATGAATTTCACGGCTCTTCTCATTTATTACCAATGTGTGGACCTCTGTGCTCTTGCAAGAAACTGCCATTCCCATGCTTTGCTCTAGTGGAGGGTGGAGTTTTATAATTTATGGCAGATAAAAGTAGGCAGGCACAGTATTCAGAGCTCAGGCATAAATGAAAGGTAGAGGAGGTAGCGTGAGGTATAGATAAGAGCTGAGTACATGTGTGTGTGAGAGCCTAGCATGAAGGCTGAGTGCCTGTATATGCATGTGCAGGTGTTTGTAAGGCTGCTTGAAATAGTGTGTACTGCTGAAGTATACGAATGACAGGGAAGCATTGCTTGAATCAAGTCGGTAGTGCTTCAAGAGGATATGCTAAGGTGAGATTTTCAAATATTTCTTGGTAACTAATGCAGATGCTGTGGTGCTCAGAACTGTTTTTGTTTGTGCTCAGCAGTCTGAGATCATTTTTGCCAAGTACTATTGATGTATAGATGCAAATGAAGTGCTGTATGATTCCTCATGTAGACAGAAGTTGTTGGTTGTCTTAGAGGGTATTTCCTGCTTCTCTAGACTGTCTTCTCAGTATCTCCCACTAGTGCCAGCCATGCCATTGTCTGCTCCGAATGGGCAGATGCTAATTCTAATTCTGCAAATGCTAACGAAGTCAAATTGAAGAAGGATGTAGTAAAACTATGAGCAACCATCATTGCCATGGAAGACTTATCTCTGGGGCTTTCCTGGCACAAGATACTCATTGCTACACCAGTGCTACTGTAGCAGTGCCGGTCTGGAGATTTTCCCGGTATTTATTTAGTAGAATACCAAGCCACAGTCCACATGATGCAAGGTGTTTGAGCTGTATGATCACTTCTCCCAGATGCATAGATTCCAGAGTTCTGTATTCTGGAGATGTGCCAGCCACAGTTATAACGCGTACCTGTGCTTGGGACTGCTTGCTGCCTTCTGTAATGCTCTTTCTTTGTCAGAACTGGCTCTCCCTATGTCTCTGTGTGTTTCCATAAAAGCTGTGGTGATTTCATGCTTAGGGTTAGCAAAACTCCACCATGTTGCATGCAGTGTTTTTTCCCTTTCTGAAACCTGCTCTCACAGAGGTGCAACCATCTTGATCATTGGCTCAGCTCTGGCAGGCAGCAGGTCCCTTTTGGAGCAGGTTGGAACTGCTGCTTATCTAGCATGGCACAGCCACTCACGGGCCAGCCTTGCAGCTCTCTCACTACTATGTCAAATCCTGGCTTATCTCTGTGCAAGCTGACAGTAGTAGTGTGCCTTTTTTGCTCTACAATTGAGATTGTCTCAGTGATTCTTGTCTTTCCACACTGCAGTTTTGTGAGGGCGTCATATTTCACTTCTACGAGGTGAAATGGATTAAATCACTCTGCTCGTGGTGCCGTATGTTTGCTGTCAGGAAAATAATGTGGTTAAGCTTAAGATTTTAGTTTAAAAGCATTCCATCATTCCATGAGCAAGAGGTCTAGTGGTGAAAAATAAGTGTGTGTGATTAGTGTTTATTTCAGATCTAGAAATGTCTGCTAGACTTCTAACTCTCTTTGCTACTCCTCTATTCTGTGTCAGCGGCTGCACACAACTCATTTTAGGTCTTCTCCTCACCTTCTGGAGCAGACTGGTCAGGATAAAATTAATCACTTCTTCTCGTATGGGAGAAGAAATTCCCCATTGAGGTTGCAGCCTGAGGTTGTTTTTCAGGTAAACACCAATAGCAGCCACAATGATGATCCATGTACGCTGTGAATCATAGAATTATGGAATAATTTGGGTTGGAAGGGACCTTTAAGATCACCTAGTTCACCCTCCTCTGGACCTGCTCCAACAGCTCCATGTCCTTCTTGTGTTGGGGGAAATGTATACAACATTCAGTTGTCATACTCTAGTTTTGCTGAAAGTAAAAGCACATTCCCTCTTTCCAACAAAACTGATTCCTTTCTCTTTTACACGTATTCAGACTATTCACATGTAGTTTTTCAAAGAAATAGTGGTTTCTGTGCTTTTATATCTGCCTGGGTATCTAATGGTCAAGGTTCATGCTTGTTCAACAAAGTTGTTTGGTTTTTTTTTTTCTTCTAATTGTGTATGTAACTATAGTCCAGGAAATCTTTTGGGAATTAGAAGAAAGATATTACTGGTGCCAGATGGAAATGATATCATCAAAGTTCATTTGGAAGCCAAGGCTTTATGTAAACAATGTTGTATTCATTTGTTAGGAGGAAGCTGATAGGTGATTTATTTTTACAATGGTCTTTGTTTGCAGCTATTACTAGGCTTGGTCTGAACAACTATGCAAATATGTTTCTTGTTAGAACTGAACTTTACAGACCTACATTAGAGGAATGCCATCCAGAGGGGCCTGGATGGGCTTGAGAGGTGGGCCCACGCTGACCTCGTGGAGTCCAACAAGGCCAAGTGCAAGGTCCTGCATCTGGGTTGGGGCACTTTCAAGCACAGATACAGGTTGGGTGGAGAATGGCTGGAGGGCAGCTCTGAGGAGAAGGATTTGAGAGTGTTGTTTGATGAGAGACTCAACGTGAGCTGGCAGTGTGTGCCTGCAGCCCAGAAGGCCAACCATATCCTGGGTTGCATCAAGAGAAGTGTGACCAGAAGGTTGAGGGAGGTGATTCCACCCCTCTACTCAGCTCTCATGAGACCCCACCTGGAGCACTGCGTCCAGTTCTGGAGCCCCCAGCACAAGAAAGACATGGAGCTGTTGGAGCAGGTCCAGAGGATGGTCATGAAGATGATTAGGGGGCTGGAGCACCTCCTCTATGAGGACAGGCTGAGAGAGCTGGGGCTTTTTGGCCTGGAAATCAGCAGGCTCTGAGGAGACCTTATAGTGGCCTTCAAGGACCCGAAGGAGCCTACAGGAAGGCTGGGGAGGGACTTTTAATCAGGGCAGGTAGTGACCGGAACAAGGGGTAATTGTTTTAAACTGGAAGAGGGTAGGTTTAGGCTAGGCACTGGGAAGAAACTCTTGACTGCGAGGGTGGTGAGACACAGGAATAGGTCACGTAGAGACGTTGCAAATCCTCCACCTTGGAAGCATTCAAGGCCCATCTGGATGGGGCTGTGCGCTACCTGGTCTAGAGGGAGGTGTCCCAAACCATTCTATATGTCTGTGATTTATATGATCAAAAAAAAATGAATCACAGAATCAATGAACTGTAGGTGTTGGAAGGGACCTCCAGACATCACCGAGTCCAACCCCCCTGCCAAAGCAGGTTCCCTACACCAGGTAATGGGCTTCTTGTCCATGAGTTGATAAGAATGTGATCCCTTTCTAACTGTACAAAAATAAAACTTGTGGTAGTGCATAGTGGCAGTACACAGCATAACATGTAATCCTGATTTCTGTCCTGGCTCTGAGAAGTGGTAACTGCTGCCCTATGAAGCCTGACCTCAATAAATGTGCACAGAATGGACATGAGATGATAGACAAGAAAAAGTATGCATACATGCTGGACAGAGAGGTAAGTTTGGTTCCTAGTTGGTTAGCAGCAGTGACTACGCTTGGAAATGTGCACAGTGCTACAGTAACTGAAGTCATGGGAGGATGCAGCTCCCTGCCTCCATGCAAATTATCCTGAAGGCTTCCATACAGAGGGAAATTGAGGCAAGGCATAAGGAGGAGGTTGCAGGTTAGAGAAATTTTAACTGGGAATATTTAAGTAGTGTAATGAACCTAGAAGAGAGCATGATAAGCCGTGTCTGCACTCTGGACAGCTAGGTCATGCCTCAGACCTCTGCTGCTTTAGCAAGAGGAAGCTAATCTGCATGGGCATGGCTGTCTGAGTTCAGCGCAACTGTGGCCTGCACAAAAGTGATGTACACCTTTTGTGAGAAACTGGACTCCAGCACTGCCTTGTTTGGGCTGGCGTCCAGCTTGCCCCACAGACCTGGAGGCCTGTCTCTCTTTCTCCATCTGGCTGTAGAAGGATAACATGTGCTATAGTTTTTCACAGTATCATAGTACTGTGGCAGCTTTCCAGAACGCTGAGCCTGCAGTGGGATTGGGAGGAGCCTAATTCACTGCAGTTGTCTTCATCATGACTGTGATGCTGAACTTCCTTTCTCTGTCTCTGCAGGTTCCTTTCAACCATGATGAAACCTAGGATACAGATGCTTCTGATTCTGGCAGTTCTGTTTGTTCTTCTGATCCGCTTCCACTTCCTAACCTGCAGCAACAGTGCCTCCCTGGAATTAAAATCTTCTGCAGTCCACATCCTCATCCTCTCCTCCTGGCGGTCAGGATCATCCTTCACTGGCCAGCTTTTCAGCCAGCACCCCAGTGTCTTCTACCTGATGGAGCCTGCATGGCATGTATGGGTTACAATGTACCAGAACAGCGCCAAAGTCTTGCACATGGCGGTGCGGGACCTGGTCAGGTCAGTCTTTCTCTGTGATATGTCTGTTTTTGATGCCTACATGTCTAGCGAGAAGAAAAAGTCTGACTTATTTCAGTGGGAGAAAAGCCGAGCTTTGTGCTCCCCTCCTGCCTGTGACTTCTTCAGTCGCAGCGACATAATCTCTGCAGGAAACTGCAAAGCTCTCTGTGGTAGATACTCATTCAGCAAGGTGGAAGAAGCTTGTAAAACCTACAGCCATGTTGTCATCAAGGAGGTTCGCTTCTTTGACCTGAAGGTCCTCTACCCACTTCTCACCGATCCATCCTTGAACCTCAAAATAATTCACTTGGTCCGTGATCCTCGGGCTGTGTTCAGGTCCCGAGAGAATACAGTGGCAGAGCTGAAACGTGACAGTGACATTGTTGTGGGGTCCCAGAAGGCAAAGGGAGAACTGGGACCTTACAACACAATGCAAGAAATCTGCAAAAGCCATGTTGAGATTTACAAGGCAGGCAGCCAGGCTGTTCCCAGCTTTCTGAAGGATCGTTACCTGCTAGTTCGTTACGAAGACATTGTCAGAGATCCACTAAGAAAGGCTGCTCAGATGTATAGGTTTGCAGGACTCCATTTCACACCAGAACTTCAGAAGTGGGTGCACAATATTACCCATGGGAAGGGAAAAGGAGAACGAGCATTTGATACTGGATCCAGAGACGCACTGGGCACATCTGAGGCCTGGAGAAACACGTTTCCCTTTGAAAAAATAGAAAAAGTTCAAAGTGTGTGCAAGGATGCAATGGACTTACTGGGGTACCGGCTAGTTCAGTCTGAAGAAGAACAGAAAGACATGTCACTGAATCTTTTGTTTGGACAGAACAAATTCTGAATGCAGAAAAGCTGCTTTCTGTACCTCCTCTCTGAATGCTGCATGGTGGTGGACTTATACTGAAGAGGGTAGAGGTATATCAGTGGGTGGGTGGGTGAGGTCAGGTACTACAGGAGTGCTGGCAGCACTTATCACAGTTTTACCAGCAACAGCACAGGGTAACTCTCAAGCTACAATACAGGCTGGAGTAATGCAAATCTGTTATCCAAATTAAGTTTGGGGTGTATGGGAAAGAGGAATTATGTGTAGATGGAAGCAAACAGGCTGCCAGAGGAATGGAATTGGGTGTCAGAGCTCAAACCCCTCCACAAGCCACAGCTAAGTACTGGAGAAACTATGTGGAACAACTGCACTGTAATGGAAGAGGACATATAAATGGAAGCCAAAGGAAGAGAACATTCTTTGTCATGCTGCCACTTGGGAACATATAAAGCTGGAAGAGAGACAACGATAAGCATATGGTGTTTTCTGGACAGCTCTCCCTCCCCCCCCCCCCCCCCCCCAGCTCTATTCCTGTGCCTGAGCCTTTAACATTCATGGCAATGTTGGCAGAATGTCTTCATTCATTTGCCATATAGTGGGAAAAATGGAATAAACCAGCTATAGTTGTAAATGAAAACTCCTAGGTCTGCACATAGGGATCTATTTCTGAGATGGGGTGAACCCACTGATTTTTTCAGCTGAAGTAATTATATCTTCTAGCTTTCCAAACCAGAAGGAGTTCTTGACCTGGGAGTTCTCACAGTTCATGTGAGAATGAGAAGAATTCATGCTAGTGCTAAGACTATAAAAGGGTAGGAACACAGTTTCTATTGATCTGCATAGTGAAACTGAAAGATAGGTTTGTGGCAGTGTATTAAAAAAAGTTGAGAACAATAAATTATTATATTGTATTATTTATTTGGTGAAAGCATTTCCTGTCATAGAGCACGTGCAAGGGACCTGAAGGCCCCCGAATAAAGAATGATCCTAGGATGGAACAAGTATCCTGACAGTTTTAAGGGAACCGATATTCGTGTCTGTGGCTGCAAATGCCTTGTTTTGTTGAGAGAGCTGACCTTGGTAGCTGGTCTTGTTTTTGCAAAGACTTGTTTTGCAAGGTGTTCCTCTTGGGCTCTGTCACACACTGGCTTCATGGGTACAGGGTGCAGTGGAACAAACCCTGCAGACGCTGAGGAGAATCGAAGCAGAATCAAAGGAAAGCAGCTGTGGTGGGAGAGAGGAAAAGTGCCCTTTGGAGGGGATGCCCTGCTGGCATGGTCCTTCTCTCTCCTTTTCAGTGGTTTGTCATCTTTCAAGGATTGGTGAGTAACAGTATGCCTGTTGAGGGAGTCTCTGCTTCCCAGTTGTAGGGATTATCTAAAAATGGATGCCGGTATGTGTATGAGTGTGTGTATGTTGACCAAAACTCATAACCCTCTGTTCTGCTCTGAGCACATGGTTTGCTTGCCTCTGCTACTGAGCCATCTTGTCTCTCAGATCCAAGTGTACCCTAAAAAGATCACCGTAAAATTTCATAGAGTTTGCTATTGTCCACTATCTCCTATATCAATCAGAAATGTCATTCTTCCATCTTCAATGGGAATATCCAGATTAAACCTGAACAACAGAATTTTTATCTGTTTGTAACAGCACTTTGTAAGAAAATGAGGAAATCTTGCTATCAGACACGTGGAACGAAATGTCCACAGAGCCCCTTCTGAGGATCCCATTTCAAACGCAAGTTGCAGTGTCCCTTTAACATTGATTCTCAGCTTAGTTAATTTTTTTTTTTAAAGTCTGAAGCAGGGAAATCCATGTCTAAAAATTCACTGATATACTGTCTCAATTTGACTCCACTTCCTTAAACCAACTGGCAAGCAACAGCTCATTTAAATTTATTAATTAGGCAAATTTACTACTGTAATGTATACTGTTAACCAGGAATAAACAATCACAGACAGGTTACAAGCATCTCTATCTTGGGAGTACAGAGAACTGTAAACTCCTCCCATGATCTTCAAAATGGCACGCTGTTAACACATGCAAGATAAGTGGGGACAAATTTAATGCTTCTCTGCTCTTTTTACAACACTTTCCCAAGGCCTGTACTAATTTGCAGCACTGCTAGGAACACAGCTGTTTTTGCACTTCTCTAGTGACTGCATTCATGTTTGAAAGTGTGTATGCGAGAAGCAGTGTCCAGGTTCTATGTATTGTGTTTGATGGGTGACGGGAGTCACCCTTACTGATACTTATCTCGAATAACAGGAAAAAGACTCTTCTGTCAAATTTACAGTTGAATTTTGTTATTATTGATGTTGTCACAGATAATCAATTAAGGTTTTATTATGTGCTGATTCTGGTAAGGAAAGCAGAGAAAGTACTGCCACAGATGCTGAGCAGTTATGTTGACTATCAAAACAAAGTAGCTGCAATATAGACTAGACTTTGGAATAAACTGAGTCATCTGAAGTTAACGGTCTGCTCTGGGACTGCCAAGCGTAGAAGCTCAAAGAAGTGGATGGCTTCCCATCCCAGAAGCATCTCTGCAGGCACCTTCAGTGAGGCGAGCATCAGTGTCTCAGATCCTGCACGCCTTTGAGGTGAGAGACCATCCTGCAGCAGTTAGGAAGGAAATTGCAGGTACAACTGTGGAGCAGGAGGTGACAAATGGAAGTTAGTGGCCCAGAAAGGGATCTGGTAGAAGTACAATTTGTCAGCAGTGAGGAAAGATGATATGAGCTGGAGAGAGGATCGTGTTTTCCAATTTCTGATGTAACTCAGTATAAATATTTCTAATGATTTAGATTTAACAAGCTAGTGTTGCGGTATTCTTCTTGTCCATGAAATTCTGCTTGTTCATGTACTTCTGTGTATATTCATACCTCGTAAGTGAGCAGTGTGGGGCAGACCCCACTTATTAACTTATTAACTTATTAGCTTATTAACTGGCTAGCAAGGCTTTCCTGACTTCCAGGTGCAGGACAAGATAAATGTCACTGTTTTTGAAGCTCTTTGACATTGAATCCACATGTCTCTTACCACTAGACAGGGCCTAGCACACTGAAATATTCAGATGCATTACAAGGTCAGTATGCCATGCATGCTGGGTTTGTCCTATAGCTGGTGATTGTTGCTTCAGCGCAGTAGCTATCCAAATCTTACTTCCAATCATTCTTCCCTTCTAGATGAAGCAATCAGCCCCAGTCACCATGACTGAAAACAACTTAAAGCAGCTGGGACATGGTTTATTTCGGGAGATGACTAAAACAGGGTTTCTCTAAGTATAAATTTTGTTGATCAAATTTAAGATCTTATTCCTAATGGCTAGAAGAACTTAATGTGATATTTTTGTATCTTCCCAAAGTCTGAATTTCCATTTCATCAAGTTGGAATAATATTGACTCTACTGTGAAGATCTAGATCTCAATCTAGTATTCTTTTTAAGAAGCTTTTAAAGCTAGATTCATGGAGGAGACATCTGATGTTCTGCCCAACATTTAGGCTTCAGTCACAGAATGGCTACTGTTGGAAGGAATCTCTGGAGGCCGTCTGCTCCGAATACCCTGCTCAAGCAGAGACACCTAGAGCAGGTTGCCCAGGACCAGGTCCAGGCAGCTTTTAGGGTCTTCAGGGAGAGAAGCCTGTGCCAGTGCTCTGTCATCCACACCGTAAAAAAGTGACTTTTACAGATTAACTATTACCACAGTACTGAAGACATCTGTGGTCCTAGAACTAAAGTTCTAATTCTTCAAAAGGATGAAATAGTGTATGTTATCAAAATTGGAGTGATACTGCCAGGGATTCTCTTAGTGAATGTGAAAACCTTCCTTTACATGACACTTACACAAAGTTGGTGCAGGCAGGCTGGCATAGAGAAGTATGATTCATACAGCACTAGAGAAGTGCACAGTTGCTGCACTTCTAAAGATCTCTTTAGCTTACGGGTTATATCACACATTCAGCTAAAAGCATAGTCTCAGAAGCCAGTTTTTACTGCAGTCATAGTGAGGAGCTTTTCAGTTGAAGTGCAAAGAAACCTGTTTCTTCACAGACACAGACTCTTTTCAGTACATTACTACATTACTATTACATTTATACATTGATCAATGTTAGCTGGAGTAGCACAAGTTTTATTATGCATATTTGTTTTCAATGGACTCGACTCTTTGTATTAAATATTTAGTTGGATGAAAAAAAAAAACTTCAATGTTTCCAGTCTCCGGTAACCAAATGACATAAAATGACATTTAATGTATTTTCTTAAATTGTTGTTAAGAAAATTATTTTCCATTTCCTCAGCAAACTCAGGAAAAACAAAAAAAAACCATGGATTTCAGTGCCTCATTGTTATGCTTCTGCTACGCTTCCCACTGCAACTACTGACAATAATGACTTTTTTTTTTTTTTGGAAGCACCAAAACTATACGGGTGGTCAGTTGGATTAGTGGTAGCAAAGGTGACTAAAAACAACTTTGGGGGAGGAAAAAATACATTTCAAGACAGTGAGCATGACAGAGAAAACTGTGGCTATATCTGTTGGCGGATGCATAACTAAAGATCTGTGCAGTTTGTTTAAAAACAAATGTGAAGTTCATATTGTGCAAGTTTTTAGATGAGTAAACTCTTTTTATAGCAATGAAGTGTTAAGATAGAAAAATTCAATAATCAGAGGGGCACTTAAAAATAAACTCCTTCATGTTGCTCTTCAACCTAGCATATACAATCTGTTTTTCATTGGTAATTTTAGTTAACAATGGCCAGAATTCATTCACTGTAGTTATGAAAGACTGGAATTCATTGATAATGATGAAAGGAAGTAAGTGGGAAATATCCAAACTCCAGATAATGGTCTGCCTAGAATTCTTAACCTCAAGGTTCTGGCACTTGCTTTGCTACATTACTCACTCCCAGCTTTATAAATGTAGCTATTCCAGTTAAACAAGGAAGATAGGCGTGTATTTCTTTGGGCTATGCAGAGTTCCTGATACAAACAGCTCAGGGCCTCAATACCACCTTAGAAAAATAAGCTGTCTCACAGCTGAGGAATCATAGCTGTATCCTTAGTAAAACCAAGCGGAGAAAGGGTTTCTGTCATGGAAGAAGGCAGAGACAAAATGCTGTGAACCTGACCTACAACAGAGACAGCTCGAAGTTCCATTAATGGAAAAGTGAAACAAAGAGACCAGAGCTACTGCCACATGCTCACACAAGCAAGAGTGCAGCTGTGGACAAGCAGTGCCTTTCAGGAGTTCAAAACAGATAGAAGGTATCCTTCTTCCATTAGCTCTGCTTTTTTCTCATTTTGTCGTCTTATTCAGTTCCTATACCTGAAGAATTCACTAAGCATCTATTAAAATGTTAGCAGCGTTAGACGATGTCTTGACATAGTTTTACAAAGATAAAAGCACCTTATGCAGTCTTGGAAGTTGGCAATGCAGGCATGATTAATTGCCCTGAAAAAGACAAGCTTATTCTCACAGGAAACGTCAACCAAGATA